GTGCATGATATCAAATGGTTGATTATGAATTGAGATTCAATTTATTTGAATGTTCGACGCTTTAGATATGCTTACTCAGCTTCACCGCTGAGCGTGTAGTGTGTTTTATTTGCTACACGCAGGTAGGTAGAATGAATGATTGGCTGATTCCTGGCAGCAGAAGGGGCGAGACAGTTGTGGTGGATCATTGAACAAAATAAATAATTATGTTGTTACGAGACATGTTTAAAAGTCGCTTCCGCATTATTATTAAACACTCCGTATTTTCTACAATTATGTATGGAATATTATTTATAAATAAAAATGTTTGAAATGTTTTAAATTATCACGATTACCAAATCAATACTTTAGTCCGAAAGGGGCTGCAGACCTGGACGGATTATGGTGTTACAATTCTTTTCTCACGTCGTTGTTAGAAGATGAAAAGATTTGATGACCGTTTGAAGAAATATAAAAGAATGGAGATAGCCCGAAGTACCAAGTGCCCAGAAGCCAGTGGGAGCTATCGTTTTATTTTTCTTTTAGGGGCCACAATCATTACACGTTTATTTACTGCGTTTTGTGAGTGCATGTTGAATGTATGTTGAATGCTAGTAATGGACATGTGCGCGGCCATGTCGATAGGTGAGATCGAAATTATAAATCCCTCATGATTATTAAGTCTGTTGCCTTCTGACGCCCGACACCTATCCGGCTAATGTGCACTGTCATGTACTCAGCCTCAGCAAAGCATAGTACGGTGTATGTTAAGCTGGTTACAGGAACCGCCATAGCGTGGTAGCTTTCGCACGTTGGGTTAGACTTAACTGAGTCTCGGTCAAATGGATGGATGACTCAGAGGAAGTAAGTTGGGGTCATCAATGACAAGTCGGATGATTTTACTCACTCATCGAGCCAGGAGTTGGATTTTCTTCTTTCGTTTTTTTGCTTTCCACAAAACACTTCCACTTTCTATTAAAAAAACCACTTTTACCCCTACTTTTTCATACCCTACCTATCACATTATACTTTTTCACTAATAACCAAACTATCCCATCTTACTTTTTCCCATTACATCAAGGGCAAAATTGAAAAGTCCACCAAAATTACACTTTCCTTATTTTTCCTCAAAGTCAAAACCGGAAGGGTTTTGTAGAACGGAGGGAGTACAAGATTACTATTATCCCAAATTTTAATCTTTATATTTTATACTACTATAATCTTTACTAGCATAAAGATTGTGGTAGACTCCGGCGTTGCTCGTGTGTCAAAGTTGGAGACCTGACGCTTGAACGGTTACGTTTGCACTTTCAACGTTCTTCCTACGACTTCTTCGTTTTTACCGCTTACGGAGAAAGGTATAAATTTCTTACTTACTAT